TCAGCCATAAAAAGAAAAGAAGTTGAGTTATTTGTAGTGAGCTGGATGGACCTAGAGTCTGTCATACGGAGTGAAGTAAGTCAGAAAGAGAAAGACAAATACCATAGGCTAACACATATATATGGAATCGAAGGAAAAAAAATGTCATGAAGAACCCAGGAGTAAGACAGGAATAAAGACACAGACCTACTAGAGAATGGACTTGAGGATATGGGGAGGGGGAAGGGTAAGCTGGGACAAAGTGAGAGAGTGGCATGGACATATATACACTACCAAACGTAAAATAGCTAGTGGGAAGCAGCTGCATAGCTCGGGGAGATCAGCTTGGTGCTTTATGACCACCTAGAGGGGTGGGATAGGGAGGGTGGGAGGGAGGGAGACGCGAGGGGGAAGGGATATGGGAACATATGTGTGTGTGTGACTGATTCACTTTGTTATGAAGCAGAAACTAGCACACCACTGTAAAGCAATTATACTCCAATAAAGATGTAAAAAAAAAAGAGATGGGAACAGAAAAAAAAAAAAACTGCCCACAATTAAATATCACTGCACACTCACTAGAATGGCTAAAATAAGAAGACCAATAATACCAAGTGTTGATGATAAAACGGGGCCTGTATCCCTACGCGGCAGTAATTACCTTGAGTTGTATGGTAGCTGTTCCTTTCCGTGGGCCATGTGCTTGGGTTTGCCACAGTCTCCACCAGTCTCTGCAGCCTTTTCTATTCCTGTAGTAACATCAGGAGGAGAGTTAGTTCATTTTTGAGGCCTCATTATGTGTCAGGCACTACTCTAGGGCACGAAGATACAGAGGGGAACTGAGCAGACAAAAATCTCTAAATTCACAGTGAGTGGTAAGTACCCATCCACATCATCAAAAATTAGAGGGAGAAAGTTAGACCAAGAGTGCTACGTATTTTAGGGAAAGTGGGAGAAAGCATGTTTCTTTGTGGAAGTAAAAAATATTTATTTATTTTTTAAATTTATTAATTTTGGCTGTGTTGGGTCTTCGTTGCTGCACGCAGGCTTTCTGTAGTTGCGGCGAGCAGGGGCTACTCTTCGTTGCGGTGCACGGGCTTCTCATTGCGGTGGCTTCTCTTGTTGCGGAGCACGGGCTCTAGGCGTGTGGGCTTCAGTAGTTGTGGCGCATGGGCTTAGTTGCTCCGCGGCATGTGAGATCTTCCCAGAGCAGGGCTTTAACCCGTGTCCCCTGAATTGGCAGGTGGAGTCTTAACCACTGCGCCACCAGGAAAGCCCAAAAAATATTTCTATATTTAAAGTTAATAGGTAAAAGTGTGTCTGTGTCAAAATTATCCTGCCTCTTTCACTTACCTCACATAATGGATCAGATCCTTTTTCCCTTTATGATTCAGTAAATTCATGAATTTTCCCACAAATGGATTTCAGTGAAATCATGGAGATTATCTTAATTTCAGACAATGCCAGTAGGCAGCGAGATTGGCACAGGTTCCCATGGGCAGACTGACACAGGCTCTGCTGAATGTTAGCTTTTCTTATCTCTGTCCAACCTCTCCCCAGCTCAGCTTTAGATTTTTCCGTTTAATCAAGATCTAGGGATGCAGCTCAACCTAAGGTAAGCACCTCGGGCTTCCCTGGTGGCGCAGTGGTTGAGAGTCCGCCTGCCGATGCAGGGGACATGGGTTTGTGCCCCGGTCCGGGAAGATCCCACATGCTGCAGAGCGGCTGGGCCCGTGAGCCATGGCCGCTGAGCTTGCACGTCTAAAAAAAAAAAAAAAAAAAAAGCCACCATTAAGGTAAGCACCTCTCTTGAAGTCTTATAGCTGCCTTATGTAATCCCCGCACCCTCTTTAGCTGCGGCTGAGAATCTTATTACCCTGATCTGTGTGGTGGATGTGGGCCTGTCCTGGAGAAGTGTCTCGAGTCGTGCTCTCTGCCCCTCTACCTTAAATTTACACTCTGTTTGGTCAACTACATGGTGAAAGTGGTTAACATCTTTAAAGGGACAAATCCTTTCAGGCTTCAATTTTTGATCTCGTGATCAAGAAGCCCTGATTTAAGTGCTTCTCACCTGCAAATAAGCCCTTTTATAGGCATAGATGCCTAAAACGTGGTTCAGTCTATGTGAGGCATAGTGGTTCATTGCGTTGCCTTTAGATTTATGTTGGTCATAGGCTTTGAGGATCTGGGCTGGCTCTTCTCAACCAGTTGTGCTTGACTGGATCAAGTGGTAGGCTTCTGACCCGTTTCTTCAGTCTGGTCTGGAAAGGTCATCTTGCTGCCTGGTAAAGAAAGCTGACTGCTCCCATCTGGTGGCAGTTATCTCAAGTTGCCGCATCACCAACCTGCTTCTAAAGACTTGCCTCATTCTTTAGTGGTGCCATGCATCACAGAACTGCAGGAACCAGTCATTCCCAACTTTGGTTCTGCAGGACTGTCAGGTGTGTCCTTATTCTCTAAATGAGTATTGTATAGTTTTCACTAAGATAAGTGAAGTGGAAAGAACATTTTTTAGATAATCAGGACAGTGAAACTGGTCCAGGTTCTGCCCATAACTAGCCATAGGATCCTAAGCCTCACTTGTTTCCTCCCCCCATAAAGCAAACTGCTTGGACTAAGGCTCTCTAGAAACACTACTGGTGCAAAGTCTGTAGTTCTGTGATTTTTTTTTTTTAATTCAAAATATCTGTAAAATGAAAACCTTCTTGTATTATTCACAAAACAATTATGACTATACATAGAAATTTTATAATTTATACTATCATTTTCCCCAATTTTATTTTATTTTTTTTCATTCCCCCCAATTTTAATTGCTAAGACACATCATGAATTTAACGGCTTTTGGGGCGGGGGAAGGAAGACAAATACTACTGCATTAAATGTACATATTTATTACAAGAAAATTCTGATATCCTAAAAATTAAAATGTAAAAAATATACATCTTAGAATTGAGGAGGGTTTTTTTTTTGCATGTGTAATTAGACCTCTACTTGTCAATGCATGCTAGGATTTTTAAAATCTTCTATAGTAAATACTTAAAATTGTAGAATTAAATTGACAGTTGAGCAGTATCAGTGGACTTTAAAGTATTACAAGAAAATGGAAAACGTTATTGAGGTACAAAGCTTAGAGACATGACAGCTGAAATGAAAGATTGTATGGTGAACTTTACTGTTTATCTGCGTACTGAAGAGCACAAGGACAGGAAATACACAAGCATGCAGTCTTCGGTAAATCATTATCAAAATGCACTTTGGGAACATTTGATCTCATTAAACAATTTTTTTTAACACAGAATTATGTGTGTATTTTATGAAAACGTGCAACAGTGCTTTATGATTAAAGCTCTCTTTGGTTGCATGGTACAGAATCTGACTCAAGTTAATTTGAAAAAGAACAGTTATTTTAAAGATACAACAGGAAATATCTTGAACATCAACAGACAGGTACTGGAGGGCTGCTGGGTCTCAGAGGATTTAGAGTGGAATGGTTGGGACCCAAGTCTTAGATCTCAGGTCTGAGGTCTCTATAATCACTGCTAATTACCTTGTATCAATTTTGCACGCGGCTGCTTGCCCCAGTACTATGCCATGACCTCAGCTCAACTTCCTGTACTGCTGACTTGTCTCTGTGTTCAGCTCCATCCAATTAGACATCACCTCCGTGCAAAGAATAGCCTAGCAAGTTTTTTCACTACCCAGGGTCAGTGCGCAGGATAGTTCAAGCTAAATTATGCAGGTGTGTGAGCAGGCAGATGGGCTAAAGTGTCTGATATAACTGCTGCTTATCCCAAAGCCTTCAACTTTGATAGCTTTGCTGCACATTATCTACCCAAACCCCTCTTAACAGTGGAACTGAATGCCTCATACAGTGTTTGGGGAGTGAGGTCAAGGTTAGGAGCTCTAAGAATTTGTGGAACGCTAAGGCATAACCAATTCAGAGCACTGAAGAATTTCTTTTGGAGTTATAGTAACTTCTTTTAATGAATTATGAACTGTCTTTTAGAGAAGGGTTAGTGCAGACATTAGAAACTCTGCCCAGTAATCGTCATACTTGCCTGGTGTCTGCTGTGTAGAGTAGTACTTTCCTAACTATGTCTGTGTCTTCTCAACAGCCCATGAGGTCGGGAGGGCAGGAGGAATCCTCAGAATGTATTGTTGATTTGAGTTGGGGGATGGGGTGAGGAAGAATGAGAAAAAATGAAGAGAAGGAGATTCTTGAAATTAATTGCCAACTATTCATAGAGCAATTATTGAAATAATTTCCGAGCCTCTCTTTAAGTGTTGGACTTATGTTTTTTTAAAGAAGTCCTTGGTTGAATCTAATCTCTTTGAGCCTCTGTTTTCTTCAGCTAGTAATTGTTGTCTTAAGGGAAAAAATATCACCCAGCCTCACAGGATTGTGGTATGAATTAAACAAGAGCTCAAAGTGCCTAGGATAGCAGTTGGAATGTAGTTGGTTCTTTTTTTTCAATCCATTCATTCATCTGTTTATCTGTAGTTTCTTTGGAAGATAATTACTGTTCTTCCTGTTTTTTTTTAGATAGACGTTTAGGAACAATTTTTCTTTCTTTTTTTTTTTTTTTTTACTTAAATGACCTCATATCCTTTTTTTTTTTGAATTTTATTTATTTATTTTTTATACAGCAGGTTCTTATTAGTTATCTACTTTATACATATTAGTGTATTTATGTCAATCCCAATCTCCTAATTCATCCCACCACCACCTCCCCCGCCCATTTCCCCCCTGGTGTCCATACATTTTTTTCTCTACATGTGCCTCTATTTCTGCCTTGCAAGCTGGAGGAACAATTTTTCTGACTTGCTACCCAATCCCACATGTGATACCTTTGAGTCCCCAGAATCTTAAGAATGCTTTCTATGCCAGGCCAGCCCTAGGCCTAGCTGATGATGACATCAGTACCATTAACAGTGACATCAGCAAACTACAGCCACCATGGTCATTTGATTGACTTTTTAAACATGACTCAAAAGAGCTTGTATGTATGTTTCTCTCACAGGTGGATTTGCTATCGTGTTTCTGGTGAGGACAAGCAATGGGATGAAATGTGCCTTGAAACGCATGTTTGTCAACAATGAGCATGATCTCCAGGTGTGCAAGAGAGAAATACAGATAATGGTAAGGCTGCCCCTCAGACTTGGGACTGCTTGTTTAAAATGGGGAGAGGGACTGTGCCCTCTCATAAGAAAGCCAATGGGGGGCTTCTTCCCTTCCCTGAGATGGCAGAGAAGCCTTGCACAAAATGGGAGGGAACAGCCATGGGGTGTAGGGTGCTGCTCCTGCCTTGGTCACTCTTAGCTAGAGAGTTGAGGAGAAAGGAGCATAGTGAGAGAACCGACCAATTTTCAGGTCAGAAAAATAGTTTGAGGCATTGGGAAAAATTTACTTAACAACTTAGTTCCCAGAATTAACCATGGAGATCCTAGCTTCCCAACGAACCTCCTCTTTCCATCTTATCATCTATCAGCTACCAGTCCTAGTTTTCAACCCTCTCAAGCCCTTCAGCATTCCGTGAACATATCCTTCCATACCTTTATATTACATAAATGTAGTTCTTTCCCCCGGAATGCTTTTCCCTTTTCTTTCTTTCTTTTTTTTTTTTTTTTTGCCTAGAAACTGCTTACTCATACATACTCTGTGATCCCATTTATAAAAGTCTAAGAACAAGCAAAAGTGATCTGTGGTAAGAGAGGTCAGAAAGTGGTCGTCTAGGTGTGGAAAATTCACTAGAAAGGGGTATGTGGGAACTTCCTAGGCCATGGAAATTGTTCTGTATCTTGTTTTGGGTAGTGGTTATGGCTACACCATTGTCTGAACTCAGTTGGACACCTTAAGATCTGTGCATTTTATTATATATTAATTATATCTCACCTCTTAAAAACTTAATAAGTTTTCAAGATTTAGGTTCATATTGTGTTTAAAGAAAGAGACCCTGTCTGTTAGATATATGATGAAATATTTGTGGATGAAATAATATGATTTATTGAAATTAAACGAGTGGATTTAGAAGAGAAACAAGATTGGCGATGAGTTGATTATTGTACAAGCAGGGTGATGGGTATATGGGAGTTTGTTGGAGTTGTCTCTTTCTTTCACTTCTGTTTGACATTATACATTTAAGAAATTTGGATAGTCTTTGTGTTTCCACAGCACTTTTCTTTATGCCAATTATATTGCTTACCTTGTTACTTTATAAGTAATGCTGCCTTTAGAAAGTAAGTTGTTTAAAATCAGGAACTTTGTATTCCAGTACACTGCCTGACACAGAGTAAATACTTAAACTTTGGATGAAATTAATGTATGAATAATGGTCATAGCAGATGCAGATGTTCACCTAGAGGTGATGACTCCTTTGTGCCCTACATTTTAATACTCTTGTTTTTTTTTTAATTTAATTTAATTTATTTATACAGTAGGTTCTTATTAGTTATCTATTTTATACATATTAGCATATATATATGTCAATCCCAATCTCCCAATTCATCCCCCTCCCTGCCCCCGCTTTCCCAGTGCTCCTGCTAAGAGCAGAGAGAGGCCCAGAAAATGGTGAGGATGGCATTGTAGGGATTCCACCAGGCTTTGCTTGCCCTGGTGGGGTTGCCCTTTCAGTGGCTACTTAGAGTAACAAGTTGTACAACTCAGGATTTTAGAGAGCCTGGTACTATGTAGATTCCAGAAGGCTGCAACTATTTGGGAAGGAACTGTTGGTAGAAATAAGTGTTGCTGTCATCATTGCAAAACAGACAGAAAAACCCCAAGGCTTATATACATACAGTCAGGGCCACGTGGAACTGTCTGCAAGGCACGAGCGTCCTCCCTCTCCCCTGCCACTCAGCTGCAAACAGCTGTGCTCACTGTATTTCCCTTCCTCCACCCAGTGTTTTCGTGATGCTATTCCTCCTTCTCCTCCCACCTTGCCTCTTCCTTGCTCAGCTCTCACACTCCATTTGCTGTCTTTGCTTCTGCTCTTTCCTCTGCCTGGAATGCCTTTCTCATTCATTTTCTGGTGTTAGAAGAGTAATCCCACTCTTTAACTTTCTCCCACTCATTCAGAAATGTTTTTGGAGGGCTTTCTTTGTGCTGGGCAGGTGCTGGAGTAAAGGAGCTAAGAAGATGCGGGCCCCTTTGGAGCTCACAAATTAATGGACCTGATTAGGAATTAAATTACATGATTCACGTTCTGGCCCAGCCATGTATTAGCTGCGAGACTTTTGTTTTTTTAATTTGTTTTTTCAAAACTTAAATACCCAAATAGTTGAACTAAGCTTATTACAAAAAACATCAAGCAATTCCCTGAGGGGGCCTCCTGTGCCATTGCAAGGTCCCAGAGGCCACCACTTTTAATGGATTCATTTGATATATTTCTAAATAGCAGGCTGATATTGCTAATTCTTCCCCCCCCCCTCCATTTTAGGCGTTACATACTATGGAAAGTAAAAAGTTAACTCTCTTTCATCCCCTGCATGCCCTTCACTCTAAATACTTGCATTATTCTCATCTCCCATTCTGCCACAATAGCAGTAAGTTTGGCAATATGTTAGTTATATTAGTATTAGTTTTTACATTATTATGTAAGAAAACGTTATTTTTGCTAAATCTTCTAAGTGGACTCTGATTACTATTCCTTTCTTACATAATTCTCTTTTCACTGGAATGAATAATCATCTTGTCTTTTAGGTTTTTTAAATCTTAGTTTTCTGTGTACTTTTGTGTAGCTTAATTTCAAACTCTCCCCAAGTTGTTTAAATCATTTTAAAAATACTTTTGAACACAGTTAGTATTCTGACTGTTTTATCTTCTTGAAGAAATCTCTCTCAGTCTTTGGACTTGAGGGAATATAGGTTGGTTGCTCTCTAGGCCTCATTTATTTATTTTTGTTTTGTTTCGTTTTGTTTTGTGGTACGCGGGCCTCTCACTGCTGTGGCCTCTTCCGTTGCGGAGCACAGGCTCCGGACGCGCAGGCCCAGCGGCCATGGCTCACGGGCCCAACCGCTCGGCGGCACGTGGGATCCTCCCGGACCGGGGCACGCACCCGTGTCCCCTGCATCGGCAGGCGGACTCTCAACCACTGCGCCACCAGGGAAGCCCCTCATTTATTTCTTATTGTGGAATTTTCTAGCTATTCTCTTTGCTTCTCTTTCTTGTTAGATATGTTGACTCCTCTTTTTGCTCTGCTTTCTCCTTTTGGTGGAACTTGTCCTCCGGGAGCTTCCTGATGTGCGGTAGGTAAATTTTTGAGAACTTGCAGGTCTGGAAATGTCTTCGTTTTACACTCACACATGTGATACTTTGCATATAAAATTCTGGATTGGAAATCATTTCATTAGATACGTGAAAGCATTGCTGTACTGTATTTTAGCTTTCATTGTTGAGCTTTGGGAAGTCCGAAGTCATTCTAATACCTGGTCCTTTGGCTGCGACCCATTTTTTCTCCCCAGAAATTTATAAATTCTTCTTTGTTTACAGTGTTATGAAATTTGTTGATGATATATACCTTGGTGTGTGCATTTCTTATTTATTTTAGTTGTTTGGTGGTCTCATTTTATCTAGAAACTCATATCTTTATGTGGGGGGAATTTTAGTTTGTCTCATTTGATGATTTCCTTTTCTGTCTTCCTTCAGTTAGTTATGTTAGTTAGTTATCCTGAACTGATTTTCTAATTTTTTGTTTTCTTCCTTTTTTTTTTATGTCTTTGTCTTTTCCCTCTACATTCCAGCAGATTTTCTCAGCTTTATATTCAACCATCCTGTTGAATTTTTTATATATCAGGTTAATTTCTAAGACCTTCTTGTTGGTTTTGTTTTGTTTTGTTTTGTTTTGGATTTTGATGAAATCCAGTTTATTAGTTTTTCATTTTGTCTAGTGTGTTTTTGGTGTCATTTCTAAGAACTCTTTGCCTAGCTCTCCATTTCAAAGATTTTCTCTTATTTTTTTTTTCTATAAGTTTTACATTTTGCATTTAAGTCTGTGACCCATTTTGAGTTAACTTTATATAAGGCATGAGACTTCGGTTGAAGAACATTTTGTTTCTTGTGGGTGTCCATTTGTTGAAAAGGCTATCTTTCCTCTGTTGAATATTTTTGTCAAAAAATCAGTTGGGCCTATTTGTGACGGTTGATCTCCAGACCTTTCTCTATTCTCTGTTCTGTCCCATTAATCTATGTGTCTATCCCTCTACCAACACCACACAGCCTTGATTACTGTAGCTTTATAATGTCTTGAAATCAGACTGATTCCTCCTCCTTCTTTTGTTTGTTTGTTTTTTTGCGGTACGCGGGCCTCCCACTGCTGTGGCCCCTCCCGTTGCGGAGCACAGGCTCCGGACGCGCAGGCTCAGCGGCCATGGCTCACTGGCCCAGCCGCTCCGCGGCATGTGGGATCTTCCCGGACCGGGGCACGACCCCGTGTCCCCTGCATCGGCAGGCGGACTGTCAACCACTGCGCCACCAGGGAAGCCCCCTCCTACTTCTTTTTTTCCCAAAATTGTTTTTTTTTAACTCTTCTAGTTCTTTTGTCTTTTCATATAAATTTTAGAATAATCTTATCTCTATCTACAGAATGTCTTGCTGTAATTTTGGTAGGAATTTCATTAAACTGTTATATCAATTTGGGGAAGAAATGGCCTCTTTTCTCTGTTTAGCCTTCCAATAAATGAACATGGCACCTCTCTCCATTTATTTACATCTTTGATTTCTTTCGTCAGCATTGTGTAGTTTTCAGCATAATGGCCTTGTACATGTTCTTAGATTTATACCTAGGTTTTTTTTTTTGAGTGATTATAAATGGTATTGGGTAATTAATTTTGGTGCGCATATTTTTATTGCTGGGATATAGAAAATCAATTGATTTTTGTGTGTTTATTTTGTATCTTATAACCTTGCTGACCTTGTTTACTAGTTCTGGGAATTTTTTTCTCGATTCTTTAGGATGTTCTATATAGGCCACCATGCCATCTGCAAATAGAGGCAGTTTTATTTTTTCCTTTCTGATCTGTTTCCCTTTAACTTCCTTCTCTAACGTGATTGCACTTCTCCCTCACTTATTTATTTATTCAGTCATTTATTTATATCAGTATGGACTTATGCATATTAATTTTGTCCTTTTTTCCCCCCCACTT